ACAAAGCGTTATTAATAATGTTTTGAAGCCATATCGGACAATTATTATTGGAATACAGGCGAAAATATCGCTTGCGAAATGTTGTGTAAATTGGTCGTTTGGTTGTCTCGAGGCGTTTGTCTACCAAACTAAACGGATTTTGTCTGCTTTAGTTCCCATAATTGTTCGTCCACATTGAAATACATGATATTGAATACATACAAAAAGATTGCAAAATTAATCTTCATCGAAGGGCTTTATCTGCTGCTTTTACTACTTTTACCAATGAGGAGGATGGACTTCTAAGCTTGCCATAGGTCTTGAAAGATGTTAAGCTTGACTTTAATGAACCTTCATGACAGTATGAGTGGTCAGGTATGAGAGGTTGGTTATCATTCTCTATGGTTAAGGCAGTTGCACATTCAGCACACTTGATGCAACTTGTAATTTTCTTGGCTATGTATCCACTGATATAGGTCAGTACATCATCATGCCAAAGAGTGGAACTGTTTAATAACGCTGCAACTCTCCTATCAACATTTTGTGTCTCTTCAGCTAGCTTGCTTTCACTTACAATAGAGCAGTTGGCAGTTGCTGGAGCTGTCATGTATTGAACAAAGAAATATCAGTAGTTTACTTATCTTTGTACGTAAGTGTCATAAAATGAACCAACTGAGCAGTATTATACAATTTTTATCAGAAGTCATTAGTTTCATGTTAATAATGTGATGCAATTTAGACATTTGTAGTTATAAAATTGTATTGCCATTGGAAACAACTGGTATCATAGATGGTGTTGTAGCTATAGCATAATAAAAACATATACTATAACTAAGTATGATAAGCATAAAAGTCACATATATTTTATTCACAGCTATATCTTATAATAATCTCAGCCATAGCCAGCATTTTTATTTGCTCATTCTATCTCAATCTTGCTGTGTTCACTCACTGTAAAAACAATAGATTTCTAATGAATGAGCAATGATGCAGTGAAATTTACATAGCAAGTGTAAAACATTCGTTCTGGATATGCCACCGATGACATCCATATCAAATATTTCATAAGATAATATATAAATTTAATGAACACCTTAGCTCTGGTAAAAAAATACTTTATACAGAGCTTTATAACTCTCTCAAAAAATAGTATTGTAACAGTATCTTGGGTTATGTCTTACAAGCTTCTGAACATAAGTTCCTTCTCTTTCGTTGAACCTCTTAGCTGTAAGATCTCATCAGTATACCCAATGCTCCTGGATACAATTACTTGATATGAGGCAAGTTTCCTTCAGTTAGGTTTACTAACTTTAATAGCTTCACTAAGATCTTGTCAGTAGATAATAGTGCTGCATTGTTATGTATCTCCTTGCTTCTTTTTTCATTCATTCAAAGTCGGATGGCCTTTCAAACCGTGTTTGAATCTCACATATCAGTTCGAGTAAAGTGGGAGTGCTTTCTCGAATGAGTCGCTTTTTTGTCAGAAATATTTAGATTGATTCCCCAATCTTTCTGTAAATTGTCAATATGACATATTCCGATGCGCAACAAATCAGTATGGGAGTTAAAGCTGAAAAAATATGTTTCTCTTAGTGGACAAACGACTTGAGACCACATAACGACCAATTTACACAATATTTCGAAAGCGATATTTTCACCCGTATTTCAATTATAACTGTCCAATATGGTTTCAAAACACTTGAAATAAAGATTTGCTTCCAATAAAACTTCATCGGAAGAGTTTGAAAACAATGAGAAGAAGTAAATTGCGAAAAACATCAATTGCCCTATAGTGACTCTGTGTTTTTTGCCCGGTTCCCACGCCATCTTGGATTTATCATGGATGTCACGCAATATGGCGGCTCGTTAGTAATGTAGACCTACTATATCTATGAGTCGAACTCCCGCTATTTTAAATTGGCGGAGGTTGTAATTATTCGACCTTTTAATACGAGTACAGCGATTAGTGATTATCAAATTACGTGTCATTGTCTGTATTAATTTTCCATTGTGTTTACTCTCAAATTGCTATTTTGTATTTGTGTATGACACAATGGCTTCAAGTGCGACTGCGATTTGCTCAACTGATGTTGATTTAGTAAATAGCTTATTAGCTAAACCGTTCTCTGCTCGATCGTCGGTCGAACAGAATGTTATCGTTCATGAACGGCCTACTCCTGATTTAACTATCCAAAATAAGGGAAGAGCATTTCAGAGAGATTGGTATGAGGCGAAGGACTGGCTGTGTGGCAGTACAACCTTGCAGAAAGTGTTTTGTTGGCCATGTCTAATGTTTACCCAAAAAACATCGCCATCGTGGACTAAGAATGGCTACAACGATATGCGGAGTATTATGTCTGATGCTAAGAAGCATGAAAAATCTAAATCGCATTTGACTACATTTAAGACATGGAGAAGGTATGGAGCTAGTGAACGAATTGATTGTCTTATGTCCCTCGCTAGAAGAAATGAGATTCAGCGTTACAATGAGGAGGTAATACAAAATCGAGAAATTTTAAAAACTGTTACGGAGGCCGTGCTGTATTTGTCAAAGCAAGAGTTGCCATTTAGAGGTCACAATGAGTCCGAAGGTAACTTGAACAAAGGTAATTATAGAGAGTTGCTCGAATGTTTTGCTAAGTTTGATTCTGTATTTGAGCGTCGACTGCACAGTAGACTAGCAGAATCTGATATAGTTGGTGACAGAAGATTTACTGGAGTCTCCCCAGAAATTCAAAATGGTCTTATCAGCTGTCTTGATTCAATTATTGAAGATGAAATCAGAAAGGAAATAAATGATTGCACATTTATGAGTATTCAGGTTGATGAAGCATCTGATGTCTCCACCAAAGAGCAGCTAAGTGTTATTGCTCGGTTTGACAAAGCAAGTGAAATTATGGAGAGGCAATTAGGATTTGTGGATGTAAGTATGAACAGAAATGCCACAGCAATATCACAAGTTGTCAAAGATAAACTTGGTGAGTATTCTAATATAAAAGAAAACTGGTTTTACAAACATATGATGGTGCTTCTGTCATGTCTGGCCATATCAATGGTGTTCAAGCATTGGTTCGACAAGAGTATCCTTTTGCTCATTTTGTTCATTGTGCAGCTCATAGATTGAACCTGGTCCTATGCCAGTCAGCCTCATCAATTTCTCCTGTTAAAATCTTTTTATTAATATAGCTACATTCAGCACATTTACAAGCAATGCCCCAAAAGAAAAGCTTTCTCACATCTAACAACCTTGAGTTTCCTGCCCTGGTGAAACAAGATGGTATTATCGCTCTAGATTAATCAATGTATTGCACAAAAACTATGAAAAACTTTTAGATATTTTTGAGGGGTACTTGAACAACCAGCTGGGTGGGATGATGAGTCATTAAGTAAAATAAGTGGCTTACTGCATTATCTTGATAGCTTTCTCTTTTGTTTTCTAGTGTGTGTTTTTTACAGGATTTTAGAACAGTCCACAATTTTGTATTCCATTCTTCAAAATAGGAAACCCATTTTAACTATGGCATAAGCAAGATTGACAATTTCAAGCAGTTTATTGTGTCACTTCGCACAGATCAAGCTTTCACCGAGTTTTACCAAACTGCACTAGAAAAGTAGGCCCACCAGCAACCAGAGCAGATAGTAGATACAATTACAAACAGCTTTATTTTGAGATTATTGATTCCATTAAAGGCATGTTAAGTGAACGATTTCAAGATATTAATCAGTTCGAGTTTTAGACCTTGTAAATCCTAAACTATTTACTACATGGAAGGGCATAGTTCCACAGGAGAAGATCAATCTTCTCAAAGATAAGTATAGTCCTCTTTTGACATCCAAACTTTGGAGAGTCAACTTTCCTTCATTTACAACGACAAGGACTTTCACAAAGAGTGCAGTAATGAGGTTCTTAAATACATCTTCAAATTTAATCTCCAGTCGAGTTTAGGTCAAGTGGTAAATTTGTTAAAATTGAATGGTGTTTGGCAGTGGCAAGTGCTTCAGTAGAGAGGTCGTTTTCTTGCTTAAAAGGGTAAAAGCTATTTAAGAAATAGAATGGGTCAAGGTCGGCTTAGCTCTTTGTGTAGAATATCTATTCACAAAGATATCATTGAAAAGAAAGAGGAATCAGAGGTGTTGCATAACGAGGTGGTTGAAAATTTGTAGAAAACCCAGGAGGCTGGCCTTTCTTTATAAATGATGAGTATAGTATGTGTTTTGATATTTGTTCGTATAATACATGGTACTTCATTGAGAAAATTAAGCATAACTTTAAAGAATAAAGCCATCCCTGTCTACTTGCCCCAATCTAAACAAGTTTAAACTAACAAGTAGAATGCTAAGAAAAATCTCTCTCTATGCACTTTAGAAGTGTCGTATACCATATTATTTTTTGTGCTAATACAAATTTCTTCTGTTTATGCAGGGGCAGTGATGAGTAAATTATGTTTTAGGGGACAATTGTCTCCTGCGTAACGTTTCTCTGAGCCACCTTTAGTACCTTTTTAACTAGTTGCAGTTTCAACGATTGCCACATTAAGAATGCAGCTAACAAAAATGGGTTTTTATAAATTATTGTACAACAAATAATTCGCCCTCGAAATCGCAGGAAATGCTGTTTCCAAGGCGGAAGATTTCAAAATCTTCCGGGGGAGCATGCCCCCGAACCCCCCTAGTGCGGTCGCGCCTCCGGCGCGAGATGGATTGGCGGGAGTGACTATTTTTCCTAGCTACGCCACTGCTTTCAGGGCCGTACCTAGAACGCTGATTGGAGGGGGGAGTGTATATTCATATATTCAGTTGTACCCAACTGTTTTCTTTAGAGCCAATTTACTTTCAAAAGAATTCAGTCGAACGCAACTGAGAATATGAATACACACCGGACTCTTTCTTTTGTATGTTCATACTCCATCATAATGCAAGTGTTTGGCACTTTTTTCATAATCAATGTCGCCTGCCTTTTTTCTTCCCTTAAATAATAGTATCAATGAGAAGTAATTCCAAAAATTAAAATGCAATAAACGTTGTTTTAGTGGCAGTTTTATTCAACTACATCAGCTATGAAAGTTCGCATATAACAAACTCTACAAAATAACTCATATATTATTACTTACAATATTATCAATTTAAATATAATTGCGTTTTCCTCATTGCATATTTAAAGTCTGTGTCAAGCCATTATAATAAAATCTACGCAACAAAAAACTGCCTTCGTATTGTTATTGGGAAAGTAAGACTTCATACATTTACATTATCTCCTAATCTATCATAAACAAGCTTTTGCTTCAAAAGCCATTCACAATTCATCCTTGTATTGCAGCTCATGCTTTTTTTGAATAGCTTACTGTGGGTTCACCAATTCTTTTAAAGTAGACTTCGACAAGTTCTTTGATATCATGAACACTTTTTTCGTTTAAATCATAATTCGCAGATTTTGTCTCTTGTTCTTCGATTACCTCCGCGCTATCGTCCAGTTCCATGCCCTGCAAGTCTTTGAACTTTTTCACAACTTCCCGCCAGTTGACAACCTTCTTTATCCTATGACTATCCCCATCTACACCTACAACACAACTAGAAGAGTCAGGAGATACGGCGTTAATTCCTGGGATATTTGGAACCTCCACTTTATCACTTATCTCTTCACGTAGTACTTCTATAATGTCTGGCCTGCAGCACACGCATCTTAATTTGTGGACAAGTCGTATGTACTTCCAAGCGGTCGTGAGTAGGTTGAGAGGCGCAGGTGTTAGAGTTGACTGTTCCAGGCTCCTTATCAACTTTGCGCGGCCGAATTTCCATTCCAAATCAGATTGCGCCTGAATGCGTCGGTAAGTGTCGCTCATCATGGCAATTAGAAGGTTAATTAGAACAATTATGGTAATTAAGCAGTAAAAACCAAACACAATATAGACCAAGACCTTAGAGAAACCCGGAAGATTATTCTTAGTCATGTCGTCGAGGAAATTAGAGTCAGCCGAGCCAAAAAGAGTGAAAACCAAGAATTTGAATATCTCAACAAAGTTTTCGTGCATGTTTGATAAAGTAACGGATTTCGATGCTTTCTTTTCAAACGCAGGTTTAGATATGGCCGCAAGATGCATGGCAAAACCAAGAATAAAGATTTGTAATGTAACGAGAAATCTTGCCACATCTTGCAAAAGATTACCAATAATAACTCCCCAAGGACCAAACAAGTAATGAAAAGTAAGAAAATCCAAGAGTTGTACGAAACTTAAAAACATTGCCACAGCTAAAATCTGATTGCGCGAGTACAAAAGATTTAAGCGCGTGGAGCTCCCGAAGGGAATCGCACTTAAATGAAGAAGAACGCCGACAATTGACAAAAATATTATCAATATTGGTAATCGCCCCAGACCTCTTTTATTCTTCGCATCGGTGAGTTGTTCAAGAAAAAGACCACACAACCAAAACATCCACACTACCTCGTACCAGGCCGGAACTACGTCATCGCCACGTTTCCCCCATGGTATAGCCAACATGAATACGAACAGTAGAATAAGATAGAGATGTGATATTAATTTACAGATAAACTTTACCAACGGCACTTGATTGTAGTTATTTTTCCATGGAAGGGAGAGCACTGCCCAAACAGGCGGCAAAACGAGGGCCGCGAAGAACACACCCACAATTTTGGTCGTTCTCCAATCTCGTCCGGCAACCCACTTGCTACCTAAGTACGACTGTACAGCGTTTTGCGCAACACACTTCTTCTGTTCGCAATCGACCATTACGTCCAAAAACGGTTTATCTTCGTCGTCTGTCGCGTTCAATAGATGACTCGCATCAGTCGCACAAGCCAGCGTCATAATGTCCTGGGCCAGCTCCTCGCAAAAATCTCCAGCGGCTGTCAGGTCTTTGCTTCGCTCTTTAACTTTAACTGACCGCATTCTGTAGTGATGGGAAAGTTTTACCGCTGTATACAAAGGTGCGGGCGAACGGAGAATGAATGACGTGTGCACTCGTTACCAGTCCCTTTTCCACACACCATAAGATCGAACAAGAACTGAAAAAAAATAAAGGGAGAGAAGCGATTAAAATCCTATTTTGTAATATGCATTACGGGAACGAGCCGAGTTGAGCTAAAAAAGGACTTGTGTATGACTTGGGTTTCATCTTTTCGATGCTTTTTTTTCTAGTATAGCTTCAACTACAATATAACAAGCGATTAAAATAAAAAGAAAGATTTTATCCAAGCTCCAACAAGAAAGCTTTTACATGCAACTAGCGAACTCGCTGTGTTAAAATAACGGAAAATATACCGTTCTATCCAACAACAAAAGCGACGGATCAAATTTAAGATTGAGTAAATAATGCAGAACGGCGACATCCCCAGAATGAGTAGCATAACACAACGCAACCTTTCCTTCCTGTAATGAAAAAGTAGAAAGAAACTTGACGGTAAACAAACTGCGTGTTGCAAAATTACTAAAAGCGACAATAACTTCTACGAACCCTCGTTTCCTTAGTAATATTTGCACCAGATTCAATAAGCTGTTTCACAACTTTTAAGTGTCCAGAAGTCGCGGAGAAATGCAACGCCGTCCAACCATCCTAAATTGGATAAGATAGTTTTCAACCGTAAGCTTTTGCTTCATGTTAGGCCTTCTGTACTTTATGGTCAGCTGTCTCGAGTAATTGTTGTCCATGCTATTTTCCAATGCCAATGACGGACACTAGAATAGACCAAGGGGGGTGGGGGTGAGGTGGCAAACCTCCAGTTATTTTCATTCCAGGTAAGATGTTTTGTGAAATCTTGTGCTTTGGGGACCACCACCCCCCAATATTTCATAAGGTGTCCGCCACTCGGCCGCTGGCCATAAACTTCATAACCACGACAAACCAGTCACAAATTATGACGTATGATATTGTGACGTATAATATTGTGACGTATGTTATTGTGACGTACGAATGGGACTAAATAACCCAGTTTACCGTATCTTCAGCATCGATTTGAGCTCCTTGCGCCAACAACTGAGTAACGACATTGTTGCGACCGCTGGACGCAGCAAGATGGAACGCCGTCCGCCCTAGTTTGTTCTTCGTGTCGACTTGATGCGGAGCTTTACTGAGCAACAGGCTAACAACGTTGGCGTGTCCTTCGCCGCTCGCCATATGCAACGGTAATGACTGCAACAAAAGAGAAGTAGGAGAAAGGTTTTAAAAATGTTCGCCATATGCAACGGTAATGACTGCAACAAAAGAGAAGTAGAAGAAAGGTTTTAAAAATGTTCGCCATATGCAACGGTTATGACTGCAACAAAAGAGAAGTAGAAGAAAGGTTTTAAAAATGTTCGCCATATGCAACGGTAATGACTGCAACAAAAGAGAAGTAGAAGAAAGGTTTTAAAATGTTCGCCATATGCAACGGTAATGACTGCTACAAAAGAGAAGTAGAAGAAAAGGTTTTAAAATCGTTCATATGCAACGGTAATGACGGCAACAAAAGAGAAGAGAAGAAAGGTTTTAAAATGCTCATATATGCAACAGTAATGACTCAAACAAAGAAGTGAATAGAAAGGTTTTAAAATGTTCACATATGCAACGGTAATGACTGCAATTAAAAGCGAAGAAAGGTTTTAAAATGTTCATATATGCAACGTAATGACTAAATAAAAAGAAGTAGAAGAAAGGTTTAAAATTAAACATATGCAACAGTAATGACCAAATAAAGAGAAGAAGAAAGGTTTTAAAATAATGCAATGAATGACGGAATAAAAGAATGGAAGAAAGGTTAAAAAATACAGTAATGAGCAAAGAAAAGAGAAGTAAAGAAAGGTTTAAAATGTTCATATGCAACGGTAATGACTCTGCAACAAAAGAGAAGAAGAAAGGTTTTAAAAATGTTCGCCATATGCAACGGTAATGACTGCAACAAAAGAGAAGTGAAGAAAGGTTTAAAATGTTCACATATGGAACAGTAATGACTGCAACAAAAAAGAGAAGAAAAATTCAACAAAATGAATGAAACAAAAGAAAAGAGAATAAACAAGAATAATGAATGGAATGGAGGAATGAAATGCAAAGAATGGAAGGAAAGAAAGGTTTAAAATGTTCAAATGCAACGGTAATGATCTGCAACAAAGAGAGTGAAGAAAGGTTTAAAATGTTCATATGCAACGGTAATGACTCAAACAAAAGAAATAGAAAGGTTTTAAAATGTTCGATATGCAACAGTAATGACTGCAACAAAAGAGAAGAAGAAAGAATTTTAAAATGTTATATGCAACGGTAATGACTGCAACAAAAAGAGAAAGAAGAAAGGTTTAAAAATGTTCGCCATATGCAACGGAATGACTGCAACAAAAGAGAAAGGAGAAAGGTTTTAAAATGTTCGCCATATGCAACTGTAATGACTGCAACAAAAGAGAAGTAGAAGAAAGGTTTTAAAAATGTTCGCCATATGCAACGGTAATGACTGCAACAAAAGAGAAGTAGGAGAAAGGTTTTAAAAATGTTCGCCATATGCAACGGTAATGACTGCAACAAAAGAGAAGTAGAAGAAAGGTTTTAAAAATGCAACGGTAATGATTGCAACAAAAGAGAAGTAGGAGAAAGGTTTTAAAAATGCCAATTTAACGAGCTATCTAAGGATTGAGGAGAAATTTCATCATCACTGTCCTGTCAATATTTTACTTACATTTTGTGTTGTCAATTCATCAACCTTCACATTCGGATCATTTAAAAGAAGGCGAACGACATGTTCGTTTCCAGACCTCGAAGCAAAATGCAGAGGAGTGCAGCCGGACTAAAAGATACAGAAAAGCATCAGTTGAAACTTTCTTGAAATACTATCGTATTATTTTCGTAATACTTCGTAATATTGTCTTAATATTTCGTAATATTATCGTGATAATTTGTAATATTGTCGTGATACTTCTGTAATATTGTCATAATACTTCGTAATACTGTCGTGAACTGCCGTAATATTTCCTAATATTGTCGTGATACTGCCGTAACATTGTCGTGATACTGCCGTAAAACTTTGGAATGTTGTCGTGATACTGCCGTATCACTTCGTAACATCATCGTGACACTGCCGTAATACCTCGTGATACTGTCGTGATACTGCCGTAATACTTCGTAATATAGACGTGACACTGCAGTAATACTTCGTATTATTGTCGTAATAATGCCGTAATATTTTGCAATGTAATCGTGATACTGCCGTAACATTTCGTAAAATTGTCGTGATACTGCCGTAATACTTCGTAATATAGTCGTGACATTGCAGTAATACTTCGTAATATTGTCGTAATAATGCCGTAATATTTTGCAATGTAATCGTGATACTGCCGTAGCACTTCGTAAAATTGTCGTGATACTGCCGTAACACATCGTAAGATTGTCGTGACACTGCAGTAATACTTCATGTTGTTCTTGTATTCCGTTATACTACTCACTTCCTCGTCTTTTTTCGTCTTGTTCGGCTGAAAAAGAACCATTAAACATGAGACAACTAATAAAACTAAACAAAGCAATTCTTTCAACCATCCATTACCTGACTTTTCACATTCCCAACATCAGCCTCTAGTAATATTTCCCTCATGACTTCCGTTTGGCCGTACTGCGCCGCGATGTGAGCCGCTGAGAGTCCCGTCTATAAAGCAATAGACGGTAATGTTCGAGATTTAAAAATTCTTACGCGTTGTAATGTATATGAAAGTCGTTTAAAGATACCTTTGGGCTAACAAAATCAAGAGAAATCTTATCTTTAAGTATGTCGATAACGTTGTTATGGCCATTTCTCGCTGCAAGATGAATAGCTGTCCAACCAAACTACATAAAGTTAACACATATTTTCATCCATCACGATGATACTTTCCACATTGACAAAGATAATCTTACATCAAGTACTACCCCCCGATCTTTCTGGGGCCGGTTGGTTGCACGAGAGCCGAAGAGCGTTATTCACTGGATAGCAAAATATTACGAAGGTCAAAAAAACTCTTAAATGGAGCAACATTACATTTGAAGTGAGCAATCGATGAAATAAAAGGTTGCTTTTAAAAAGACAAAGTTTCTTTGTCCTAAGGAAAACACAAATATACTTTCTTAAAATGGCTAAAGCTCGTCCAGGATTCGCGCAGCAGGCCCCAGCTATTCTACTTTTTGAATTCAAACCAACATTATTTAACCGTCATCACGACACTGCCATGTAAACCACGAAATGTCCTACCTTATCCTTATAAACCATGGAATGTCCTACCTTATCCATATAAACCATGAAATGTCCTACCTTATCCATATAAACCATGGAATGTCCTACCTTATCCATATAAACCATGGAATGTCCTACCTTATCCAAATAAACCATGGAATGTCCTACCTTATCCATATAAACCATGGAATGTCCTACCTTATCCATATAAACCATGGAATGTCCTACCTTATCCATATAAACCCTGGAATGTCCTACCTTATCCATATGTGTTGCATTCGCTCCATTCAGTAACAAAACCTGCACGACATCAGCGTGACCACCACTGGCCGCTAAGAGCAGAGGCGTGGAAATCTGGCTCTGTATAATTATGGAAAAAAATTGAAAGTTTTAATTCAAGCGAGATAAAGACAACTTGAGAAATTGAACAAAAGAAATCTCTGTCAAGTACAGTTCAAAACTAGCGACGTACAGAAGTAATTTTTTCTATGATGTTGTTAAATTTCAATTTGACAAGTTCTTTTATAACAGAAATACTTCCTTTCGCAGCAGCGATATGGGCACACGTCTCGCCATCCTATAAAAAAGCGTAAACATTGTGAGATAAACACTGCTGTGAAACACAGACCTGTTCTTAAATGATTATTACAGTCCACTCCGTTGTTTCATGTGTTTCATAAACCTAGCTTTGATGACAAATTCGACATGAGAGCAGAAATGAATAATTCTTGATGTCATGCTTAATCTCATCCAACAATTGTTTATTATTGAACAGTTCGTAAACTAAAATTCATCGAAAACAAGCACGTTCCTTTCTGCAACAGCAGTCCAGTTTATCGGCAGTCAGAACACCAAACAAAATAAACATGATCAAATGACCAGTTTGCAGCGTTGAAACTTACAGCATTCGTTTGATTGACAAGTTGAGGATAATTTTTCACGAAAAACTTAACAACTTCTGAATGATCCATTTGTGTGGCACAATGCAAAGGCGTTCTCCCATGCTGAAAAGATAAAATAATTCGTTGAAATGATTTTATTATCATCATTACACGCAGTTAGATAAGAGGTAAGTCACGTGCTCAGTCACGGGTAAGTCACGTGGGTATATGTCTTACATTATTCTTAGCGGATGTGTTTGATTAAACATGCAACACGCGGTTGGTCACGAGGTTAATAAGAGGTTAATCACGAGGTTGATAAGTTGTTAGTGCCGTGTTTCATAAGAGGTTGGTCACGTGGTTACTAACGGGATAGTCACATGAATACGTATCTTCAAAAGATTCGTAGCGGATATATCGGCTTATAGAAACGCCACGGGTTAGTCACGTGGTAAATAAGTGTGGTTAGTCACGTGGTAAATAAGTGTGGTTAGTCACGTGGTAAATAAGTGTGGTTAGTCAAGTGTTAAATACTTGTGGTTAGTCACGTGTTAAATAAGTGTGGTTAGTCACGTGTTAAATAAGTGTGGTTAGTCACGTGGTTTATAACGGGGTAGTCACGTGAGTACACATCTTACATTATCAGCAACGGATGTATCAGCTTGTAGATGCAACAGGACTTTACAAACATCCAACCTTCCTCCCTCGGCTGCCAAATGTAACGGCGTCTGTCCTTCCTAAAACATTTTTAAACCCTCCAAAACTTAGTTTGAATCGATAAATTAATATCATAAATTACCGCAACGAAATGAGCGATGATTTGCACTTACAAACGAGAGAGCGTCTATACTTGCTGAAAATTGAACAAGCATTTCGACCAGGTCCGTGTATCCTTTCTCCGCTGCCAAATGTAGCGGAGTGAAACCAAGTTTTGTTTTTGCATTTATGTATGGTTTAGAGTTGAGAAGATACACAGCGACATCTTTATGATCGTAAGCACAGGACAAATGAAGTGGCGTTTGACCTTTCTATGTAAAAAAGATTTTAGTTTGAATATCAAAACATCACAAGTAAGTGGAATGTTGTTTTTCCTTGTGAAATACATTGATGACAGGCAGCAAAGATCTCTTATTGATCCACTGTTACTACAGAAGGAAACCTTAACTAAACTAACTTATTTATACTAGATATCTCTATCAGTTCTAAACTGTTCTTCCTAAAGATACAGTAAAGATCATCTCTTATTGATCCAGTGTTACTACAGAAGGAAACCTAAACTAAACTAACTTTATTTATACTAAATATCTCTATCAGTTCCAAACTGTTCTTTCTAAAGATCCAGTAAAGATCATCTTTTTGATCCACTGTTACTACAAAAGAAAACCTAAACTAAACTAACTTTATTTATACTAGATATCTCTGTCAGTTCTAAACTGTTCTTCCTAAAGATACAGTAAAGATCATCTTTTATTGATCCAGTGTTACTACAGAAGAAAACCTAAACTAAACTAACTTTATTTATACAAAATATCTCTATTAGTTCTAAACAGTTCTTTTTAAAGATACAGTAAAGATCATCTCTTATTGACCTAGTGTTAATATAGAAAGAAACAAAACCGTCCAATGGAAAGATCAAATTTCTACGCATCTAAACATACCTCATCAAAGGCGTCAAGCCTTGCATTCCAATTCATTAAAGTCTTTGTGACATCCAGATTTCCTTTTTCCGACGATATAAGTAGAGGAGTCAAATGATTCTAATTAAAGGAATCAGATGATTCTAACTAGAGGAATCAGATGATTCTAAGTAGAGGAGTCACATGATTCTAAGTAGAGGAGTCACATGATTCTAAGTAAAGGAGTCAGATGATTCTAAGTAGAGGAGTCAGATGATTCTAAGTAGAGGAATCAGATGATTCTAAGTAGAGGAGTCAGATGATTCTAAGTAGAAAAGTCAGATGATTCTAAGTAGAGGAGTCAGATGATTCTAAGTAGAGGAGTCAGATGATTCTAAGTAGAGGAATCAGATGATTCTAAGTAGAGGAGTCATGATTCTAAGTAGAGGAGTCAGATGATTCTAAGTAGAGAGTCAGATGATTCTAAGTAGAGGAGTCAGATGATTCTAAGTAGAGGAGTCAGATGATTCTAAGTAGAGGAGTCAGATGATTCTAAGTAGAGGAGTCAGATGATTCTAAGTAGAGGAGTCAGATGATTCTAAGTAGAGGAGTCAGATGATTCTAAGTAGAGGAGTCAGATGATTCTAAGTAGAGGAATCAGATGATTCTAAGTAGAGGAGTCAGATGATTCTAAGTAGAAAAGTCAGATGATTCTAAGTAGAGGAGTCAGATGATTCTAAGTAGAGGAGTCAGATGATTCTAAGTAGAGGAGTCAGATGATTCTAAGTAGAGGAGTCATGATTCTAAGTAGAGGAGTCAGATGATTCTAAGTAGAGGAGTCAGATGATTCTAAGTAGAGGAGTCAGATGATTCTAAGTAGAGGAGTCAGATGATTCTAAGTAGAGGAGTCACATGATTCTAAGTAGAGGAGTCAGATGATTCTAAGTAGAGGAGTCAGATGATTCTAAGTAGAGGAGTCAGATGATTCTAAGTAGAGGAGTCAGATGATTCTAAGTAGAGGAGTCAGATGATTCTAAGTAGAGGAGTCAGATGATTCTAAGTAGAGGAGTCAGATGATTCTAAGTAGAGGGTCATATGATTCTAAGTAGAGGAGTCAGATGATTCTAAGTAGAGGAGTCAGATGATTCTAAGTAGAGGAGTCACATGATTCTAAGTAGAGGAGTCAGATGATTCTAAGTAGAGGAGTCAGATGATTCTAAGTAGAGGAGTCAGATGATTCTAAGTAGAGGAGTCAGATGATTCTAAGTAGAGGAGTCAGATGATTCTAAATAGAGGAGTCACATGATTCTAAGTAGAGGAGTCAGATGATTTTAAGTAGACGGATCAGATGATTCTAAGTAGAGGTGTCAGATATATTCTAAATAGAGGAATCAGATGATTCTAAGTCGAGGAGTCAGATCCACATCTACAAACATGTAACGATAAACGGGGTTCCACCCGTTCACTTAAACACTTACAGATGATTTCGCATTTACTAATCGTTGAACTTCTTCTGCTGATATCGAGTTAAGTAAAGCCTGAAGGACATCAATGTTTCCAGATCTTGCACAGTAATGTACGCAAGTTTCTTTTGTCTGAATAATTAAAAACATAATTTAAAAAAAATGTAAAACGTTCAAATAAAGTTAAAGTTTTTGAGCGTACATCCACGGTTTCCAGTCTAGGATTCCCGCCATGCTTCAGTAAAAGATTCGCTGTTTTTAAGTCCAGCTCACCAGTCTCCTTATTCGTTGTCAGTTTGCTTACATAATGCAACGGAGTCTCTCCTTTCTAAACCAAACAGAGGCATGTAACAACTAGTGTATTTTTTATAAGTCCGGCAAGCAGACAAATACTTGTCTTTTACAACCTCTCAAAAACTCACACTTACTGAGGGCGACATAAAAACTGCGCTCTATTTAATCGTGCTGTGCACAGGAGTACCGGAGGCCGGAGCTCTGGCTATTTTTGCCTGCCGGAGTTTGTTCATCTCCGGCAAAACTCCGGCAGCAGTCGTTTGTGCTGCAAAATACTGTCAGACTTTGGTAAACGTGTCTGATCGAAACATTTTTGTATCAACGAACGATAACTATCGGCTAAAATTGAAAAACTTGCATGAAAATAAAACATTTTATGCATGAAACAACATGACGCTAGATTGCGTTCACACATGCTAATTTATGATTCAAAGTGGCAGTGTGGAAATTTAACTTTACATATAAAAATTTTACATATAATATGTCTTAAACTGTTGAACAGTGTCTGAACAAATTAGCCAGCCACAGTCAGTGATTTGAGTTATAAAATAGCCAGAGTTTGAAACCGGAGTTCAGATTTGACAAGGGGCCGGAGCCGGAGATGAAAACCGGTGTTTGCACAGTCCTACTTTTAATTAATGGCAAAGTCGTTTATCCATTGATGGCAAGATTTAATGCTGAAGCATTTTCGATCAAGCAATCAGTAGAGTTGAAATACCATTTTTACATAAATATGAGGTGATTTTGGATTCCCAGTCAGTGAATGTGAGTGAGCTTAGAATATGGGAAAAAAGAACATTGTTCTTAAAGAAACAGTTCAAATCATTAAAAAATACTGTCTGTCTTTGCAGTAAGAGTAGGATAAACATGACATATTGAGCAAGCAACTGCTTGAAGATAAACTCTTAATTCAATAAGCGATCCCAATGACAACAGTGAATGAAGTCATCAATGAATGATGCCATAAAGCATGTGACCAGCTTGTGAAAAAACAAACAGATATTCTTGACAGTAAAATGAATTGGAGAATAATCTAGATCCTTTAAGCACATGTAGTAAAGAAATTTCTTACTTTGTTCGGTGAATTGACTATAAACTTGACACCATGAGTCAGGTTCAGATTAGATTTCATGACATGATTGACTAACACCGCAGCAATGTCGAAAAACGAATTCTCGACAGCGATGTGTAAAGGTATCTCTCCTTTCTGCAAAAGACATCGTATATTATCATGCTCAAGATGATTTGACTGTATTGAAAAAAATAAATGAACTACATGAAAATAACTGATCTGTATTGTAGTAAAGTATCGCCAAGACTTTGCTTAAGTTTAACCTCGCGAGGTCTCTGACGTTTAGACTCTGACCTGTGACTTCCTTGCAGCATTGGCGCCTTCAGACAAGAGGAGTTCTATCATGGAGATATTATTTTTTCTCGTTGCTATGTGAAGCGATGTTTCTCCGTTCTAAAAAACATGGTAGAGAGTGTTACAGCAAACGCTCTTAAATAGCTAGTTAAAAAGAATATGGCTAATGACAGTATAACAACCACTTCTCTATGGTTGATGACAGTAAAACATACACTTCTCTATGGTTGACGACAGTGTAACATACACTTCTCTATGGTTGATGACAGTAAAACATACACTTCTCTATGGTTGGTAATACATGAAACTAATCCTAACTTTAAGTCTTAATAGCTTGAAACAACAGTTTTACAATAAATTCTCACCTCTTGGGGTACATCAACATTCGCTCCACTCTTCAATAACATTTCAGCGACCTCAGTACCATCTTTATAATGTGCAGCTATATGCAAAGGCGTTTCTTCAAGCTTAAAAAAGAACAAATTACAAATATTTCAGCCAACCTTGAATTTAGAGCAAAACCTAAATCACAAGAAAGAGTGTTTTAAAACACCTTACCATCCCCCCTTTAAGATGCACATTTGCTCCGTAGCCCAGAAGAGTCTGCACTACTTTTGGCTTGCGGTGTTGCACGGCAATATGTAGTGCAGTATACAGATCCTGAAACATAATATACTTCATGATATATCGGTAAACATTGCACAATAAATGTTGACTGTGACATTAAAAAGGAAAGAGTATAGTTGCCATCAATACTATCATAATCTTAAAAAGAAATGATGTTGAAATGATTACTTTGCCAATTGTTAAACTATTTTAATAAAATTTCTACAAATGGGGATAAAAGAGATAATGTCCACGTCAAAGAGTAAGAATAATCAGCGGACAATAAAGGACGTCATTTCAACCACGACAAAAAAACATTTCACGAACCTTAGTTTTACAATCAACGTATGCGCCCTTATTTAGAAGAGTCTCAACGACACCCACGTGACCACAAATGACAGCTGCGTGGAGCGACACCTCACCAGCCTTCATAAAATGAGTTTATAAATGCAATGCAAAGATATGAACCAATAAAAACAACTCTTACAAGATATTAACCAATAAAAATAACTCTTACAAGATATTAACCAATAAAAACAACTCTTACAAGATATCAACCAATAAAAATAACTCTTACAAGATATTAACCAATAAAAATAACTCTTACAACATATTAACCAATAAAAATAACTCTTACAACATATTAACCAATAAAAATAACTCTTACAAGATATCAACCAATAAAAATAACTCTTACAAGATATTAACCAATAAAAACAACTCTTACAAGATATCAACCAATAAAAATAACTCTTACAAGATATTAACCAATAAAAACAACTCTTACAAGATATCAACCAATAAAAATAACTCTTACAACATATTAACCAATAAAAATAACTCTTACAACATATTAACCAATAAAAATAACTCTTACAAGATATTAACCAATAAAAATAACTCTCGCGAGATACTAACCAATAAAAACAACTCTTACAAGATATTAACCAATAAAAATAACTCTTACAAGATATTAACCAATAAAAATAACTCTTACAACATATTAACCAATAACAATAACTCTTACAACATATCAACCAATAAAAACAACTCTTACAAAATATTAACCAATAAAAACAACTCTTACTCACTTTATTCGGCATATGAAGAGGAACACGTTTGTTTAGTAATGCTAAAACAGTATTTGTATGACCATTTTGTGCAGCGATATAAAGGAGTGTATTGCCAGACTATAATCAAATGAATCTTGTCAAGTTAAACGCGCACGGTAAGTACTGGTACCAAGTGGCCAGCCCGCCAAGTTAGTCATTTCTACAGGAGGACTAAAACAGGGCTGACTATGCCACTTCCGGTGCCGACAATTCACGATTGGCTAAACAACTACTGCTGTAAAAACAGTTATTTTAAAATATCACAGGGTTTAATTTGTGGTCATCATCGTGATTTTTAAGAGTTTACAATTAAAATCAAGATGGACATGAATTTTCGTCATTTTGAACGTGTTGAAGGAGAGTTATGTTATTAACACTTCTGTGCTCGTAAATCACGTATATTGAAAATCGTTTCCCTGGAAACAACTTCAGAGGACAGCCCGTGTCAGAATTGTATTGCATGTGAACACTATAGGTTATTGTGGTGATAATGATGGATAATAAGGATTCACTGTGGCTTATTGAGGTGATAATGATGGATAATAAGGGATTCACTGTTGTTGGTTGAAGAGATAATGATTGATAATAAGGATTCACTGTGGCTTGTTGAGGTGATAATGATGGATTATAAGGGATTCACTGTTGTTGGTTGAAGAGATAATGATTGATAATAAGGGATTCGTTGTTGCTTGTTGCGGTGATGTTAATTGATAGTAAGGGATTCACTGTTGTTGGTTGAAGAGATAATGATTGATAATAAGGAATTCGTTGTTGCTTGTTGCGGTGATGTTAATTGATAATAAGGGATTCACTGTTGTTGGTTGAAGAGATAATGATTGATAATAAGGGATTCGTTGTTGCTTGTTGCGGTGATGTTAATTGATAATAAGGGATTCACTGTTGTTGGTTGAAGAGATGATTGATAATAAGGGATTCGTTGTTGCTTATTGCGGTGATATTAATTGATAAGGATGCGTCATAAAAAAAAAATTAAATGTACATAATTACCTTGGAACGAAAATTAATATCGACATTTACTCTATCCACAAGATATTCAACAATTCCTGAAAATCCTCTTTCAGCTGCAATGTGTACGGCAGTTCGATCAAACTGTACAAGATAAAGATGTTTTAATTAATACTTCCATTGTATTCCTTTCATTTCAAAAAATGGTTTAAAGTTATGGAAAAAATGCTAAAGATTGTTTTTTGCAGTGCGGTGTTTGAAATTGAATGAAGATATGATCTTCGCACTTTGCTGGACAATTTAAGCAATTGTCTCATGAACCTGAAAAATTCAGGTGACTTAACGGGATTCGAACCCGTGACCTCTGCGGTGCCGGTACAGCGCTCTGACCAACTGAGCTATGAAGTCGCACAGTGGAAAAAATACTGAAAATAATCATCCCGTCAGTAAGTTGAACAGGAAACCGTTTTACCAACACACGAATACCGCTATCGATTGAGAACGATGTAGATTTTAGCAAAATTATTGCATACTCTACCTTGTCTTGTATATCAGCAAACATTTTGTTACATGAGCATAATAAATTTATCATTGCTTCCTGTCCTTCGTACGCAGCTATATGTAATGCCGTTTGACCATCATTCTGGAAGATGGAAAACAGTAAAAGAAATTATAAATGAATGAAAGAAAGAATGAATGAAAATCTTTATTTTGAAACGCTGGCCTTGTCAACTGGGGTTGATTTCCACGAGGGGCGTGCTTTTGGTCAAAAACAATTGGCTGACTTGGGTTAATGAAAAATTTACGTAAAGTTAAGACTAAAGTGATAAATCTATTTTTAACATGTCAAAATATTGATTTCTAACGAAATGAAGATTTATTCAATAATCCACATCTCTATTTAAAGCCCTCCCCCATCCGCCATAGAAAAAATCCTAAAACACTATTTCAGTAGAAGTTACATGAAGTAACACGGTTCTATTATTGGACAGCGGCTGACTTCTTTGGGTAGTACATAGTATTTGAGACTACATTTCCTATAACACACAGCTTTCCAACCAATCAGAATCGACTAAGATTCGTCATTAAAGACACGCGAGATTAAACTATGCGATCTGATCTTTGAAAAGTCGTCTCAAGCACCTTACATTTTTTAGATTTACGGCAGAGCCAGAGTCCAATAATATTCTTGCAACATCCACGTTTCTTTTTCGTGCACAACAATGCAATGCTGAATCACCAGAATCCTGAAAAAAACCATGAAAATAAACATTGAATAAATTAAAAACAAATAATAATATAAAAATGTTTAAATACTTTTTTAACAATCTTTAACTGTTCCTTTGCTTTGCTGTCCAATAATTCTCGAACGACAAGCTTGTTTCCACTCTCCACGGCCAAAAGAAAAGGAGTTTCGCCCGCCTGTAATGAAACACAAAACAACAATTAGTAGAATACAGGTTAACTTGAGTAGATAAGATGCAGCTTTGTCACACTTTTGTCACAGAGCTCTTACCCGTGCCAGTTAGTTTCCAGTCCCCTGAAGTTGATCGGTGCGCGCGCATGTCAACCGGAAATAGGGTTTAATAAACATGGCATGGCATTGGATGGCGTGAAAATCGGAAATACGACAAAGCTGGAAGTTGCATGCTATTGACAAAGTAACATTAGATCCGTTTCCTTTTCTCAATCGAAGGTAAAAACGGTAGAAAACGAGGTAATTGCATTTTATAGTTTATACTTTATCGAAAGGTTTACATTTTATCTCTTGAAACAAATGGAATTGAATGTAGACATTGATCTGGCATTAAGAATGAACAAATTGACTTTGGAGTCAGAAAAGGATGAAATAACTGTACGTCAAATTTTGTTAGAAAATAAACTTTTAGACTGCTATGCTGAAGAAATTGCTGCAATGATAAACGCTGAAGTAAATAAGAACTGCAATGGATGCATGATTGATCACTCCTCTCAACTCGAGCATGACTGTCTCATGATGGAGCATGACGAGCGTATGTTGTTGCATTTTGATGATGCCTTGGAAAATGTGTCCGAAGAGATTGTGATCAAAGATTTTATGAAAAGCATTGAAGATGTCAAGCCACCCGTTAATGGACTTGAGATACTAAAATACACTTGTAACGACTGGCATAAAATATTTGTTTCGGATAAAAAGAACAAACTTGAAACGCGAGTCGTTAAGCTTTTGTAAATATATATTATTTATTCCTGTTCGATTCGTAAGGTCAAACAACAAACTTGAAACACGAGTCGTTAAGCTTTGTAAATATATATTTTATTTATTCCTGTTCGATTCGTAAGGTCAAACCATTACACATTGTTCTAAATGAAATATAAGAAACATGTATGAATTTACTGCTTACATGTTAGCACTTCTGTATACATATACGTAAGCGATGTAATATTACATAGAAAAAAACATTTTACGACAACTACAAACGAATTAAAACTTACTCGATAAGGTCTTTTATGAGACGATACATGCCCACACGAGGGTTTTACAAGATAATCATCACAGTGATCACATTTTTCTAAAAAATAAAATCGACGCCTCTGTTAAAGTTAATACAAACACTCTAAGGAACAGAAAAAAGACAAACGGTACTTACTGAAGGTATAAAACGACGCTTATGGCGAGGCCATCCTTCTTCGATTGCATGTTTGGATATTGCATCTTCACAAAGGCTCTCTGTTTCGTAAGTGGTTGAGATACACTACACATGCGCTTGAGATGTGACCTTCGTTGCCATCTCGCAAATGTAAATTATAAATTACCATTGAATAGTATGACCTTGAATAATGTGGCGTGGGTAAGATCTGTGCAGTATCCTAGCTTTTAACTCTGTCCTTCTTAGATTTACAAACATTATTTTTATTTTAGTATGCGTTTGTTTTACTGGTTGCTAGAGATCGTATTAGGAGAATTTAAACCAAGAAGTTAGGGCAATCAACTGATAAAAGTGCAACGCGCGTTTGATATTGATATTGCAGTAATTGATACCACAAGCCTATCTGCCTATAGTGGTTTAAATTTATTAACTTATGCATTCAAGATGCGATGTGGCACAACAATTTTAGTTGTTTCAGGCTTACAATAACCGGTTTACTGCCGAAAGTCGCGTATATAGGTAGAAGTGTGCCGTAAGCGTAATATTATTCGAGCTATTTCATGCATCATCACTTTAGGGAATTTCCCTTTTCATCTTATGAAGGCGCAAAATATTTCAAAAACATCGAGCTTCGCGCAGTATGTATAGCTCTAAGAGGCTTTCTCGGTGTTGTATAATTTAGGATATTTCATTTATATTTTTTATTGCATGCCAGATTTTATAAGTTCATGCAGAGTGTAAAATTATAATTAAATTAGGTGTATATACTTAACACTTCCTAAGTATTTTCTCTCTTAATTATTCATGTTGTAGTAGTGCACGTAAGTCACGAAATGTAAACATATAAATAGACTCAAATTTGTAATAGTCGGAGATTGTGTAGATTGTTCATTGCTAATAAACTCCATAAAACAAACCGAATCAGAGTGCAGATCAATTTTCTGGACGAACTCTCTGACACTCGGCATGTTTCCATTAAACAGATAGAGATAGAAACAATAGCAGAGGATTTTGCAGCTATGCAATATTAAAGTAATTTTCACACTAAACTGAAAATGAAAAGATTTTATTGAACAACGTCACTTCAAAATAAGATACAAGTTATTATGAAACGAATTCATCTAACAAAGTTAATCTTCTTCATCATTGGCAATCTCACCAAAGCTGTACTCTTTTAAAAGTCTGTTGATGAGAAACTTTCTCTTATCAATAGCTGCTTCCATAGCTTCCTGTGGATCAAAGTCGTCATTTTCTATAAACCCTTTCTTTGTATGCATTATTTTTCTGTGGATGGGATCTTTTTTTCAGTTGGTTTATCCACATAAGACGTTGCATATAAATACTTTCCAATTCTTTTTTGAAGTTTTGGTAGAATGTTAGAATATGCTTGATTTTCAGCTGTCTGCTCATCCAGACCACTGTTCACAAGGCTTTCCTTCATCTCATCGAAATCTACATTACTTCTTTCCCTTGCTTCTTCTATCAAAGGTATCCAAGGATCAGTTTTCTCTCCAGTTTCAGCCTCATTTTCTATTGACATTGAACTTTCAGATTCATCTGTTGAACTTGTAGAAACATTATCTTCGAAATGCATTCCCTGACTGTCTGAATCTGATTGAGACATTTTTTCCTCATCCCTTAGTGGACAGTATTCTTTTCGTGTCTGCGTAAGTTGAAAGCTCGATTAAATACTTTTCCACAATATCTGCAGCTCATTTCGCCGGCACTGCTTTTTTAGAAATGAGACATTTTATGTAGCAATGTGCATTTGTGGGCAAATGAGCAAGTGTGTTGAAGCAGTTATGAGCATTTGAGCAAGTGCTCATAAGTAATTATGAGCATCAATGAGCATTGCTCATCTGCTCATAAGAGGAATAAAGGTTTAAACTATTGTATAAATTATACCAAGTTGTTATCATGTATTCATTTATGGGTATTGCTCATTTAAACTCCCTCCCCCCCTGCTTTATGATAGCAACTTGGTATAATTTATATACAATAGTTTAAACCTTTATTCGTCTTATGAGCAAGCCATAAGGAAAAAACATACAGACAGCAAGGAATTCATTATGGAAAATTGGAAAAGTTACAAACAACTCTTGTGAACTATGAATGTTGCGAACTATGAATGTAGTTACAAAATGAATGAACGATTAAAAGACATGCCTATGCTTGTGAGGATTTTAAAGTAAACCCTCAAGTGCTTTTAAAATTTTTGTCATAAATATCTGCTAAAGTATGATGTGTTCATATGTAATCAAAAGAGATTTTTGTTGTTTGATTCATGTAGATAATTAGAAAAATATTTAATAAAATTGTTCATTGTCCAATGTATTCTTATTGTGTGCACTTTGTTCACTATTTTACAAATACCTCCCATTCAAGCTAGTCGAATCATACCGTCTTTCTTTGAATATGTCAAAATGCTTACTAGCGAGTGGTTATAAAAGTGAAAGCAGAGCATGTTTGCTTTTATTTGCGAGACAATGGACGTACGTTTTAGAACACCTGCCAACTTTTATGTGTGTGGTCAAAGTCAGTCGGGCAAAAGCTATTTGGTTAGGTCGATGCTTTATAATTTAAATGAACTTTTTTATCCTGTTCCGAATAAAATTATTTACTGTTATGGTGAACGGCAAAGTGAATTTGGTGAAATGGAATCAAAATTCCAAACATTTGCTTCGTCGAAGGATTCCCGGACAACTTATTTGATATTCTGGAAGGTTGTCAAAACTCTTTAGTGGTCGTTGACGATTTGATGTCAGAATGTTCTAGCGATCAACGAATGTCCGATTTATTTACCCGCGGGTCACATCACCGTGGCGTCTCTGTCATGTATCTAACACAAAATTTATTTCCGCCTGGTAAACAATCCCGAACAATCAGCTTAAATTCCCACTACATGATCATTTTTAAAAACCCCAGAGATTCGCTAGGTATCGCAACATTGGCACGGCAGATGTACCCAAAGAAAACGAATTACCTTTTGGAGTCATTTCAAGACGCCACATGCCGCCCTTACGGCTATCTTTTGCTCGATTTGCATCAACTCACATCTGACAATATGCGTGTCAGAACAAATATCTTGCCCGGTGAAAAGCAGATTGTCTATGTACATAAGTGATAAGCATCGACATCGACAATCATTTAAACATTATGTCTAAACGAATTAGGAGCAATCTTCCGTACCTGCAAGTACTTGCAAAATCTAAGCCGAAAATTCGAAAGGTTATCATCGAACATGGACCATCTGATGTCATGTTGTGCATTTGTGAATGCGCAGTTAATGTGTTAAAAGGAACTGTACCGATATCTGCGAGTCAAAAACGACGCTTGTTGAGGTATAAGAAACATCTCAGAGCCTTAGCGAACAAGAGAATTTCAAGAGCTAAAAAGAAAAAACTTTTAAATCAAAAAGGAGGCAATCTACTGAGCGCCTTCCTACCGCCGGTTTTGAACGTACTAGGAGTTTGCTGAAATAATGAAGCATGCCAAGCGAATGATTTTAGTACCTGAAGACGTTTATAATAAATATGAACAAAAGCAAAATTTGAAGTTTCGCCAATTACGATGAACATGATGCAAAAGATACTCAACTCTCACATCCTTCACCAAGACGGTTTAAGTGACGATCAAAGGCAAAACTTTTCAACACAAACTTTGAGCAATTCCTTAATTTGAAGAAACAAAAGATATTCAGATACCCACAGTACGCGTGATGGATACAACCGACGGGAAGAAAGAAACACGGTAATAAACAACGAAGTGCGTACATTAGCTGACTCCGTCATT